AGAGTTGAAATATCAATAGTCACTTCTCTGCCAAAATGAAGAAAAAACACTCTTCAAGACTTCCATTGCTATATAATTTACCAAATTGTGATTATCACTGACCAATAATTACATGAAGGTTAAACATAAGTCAGCCATTTGAAATGCAGAACAATTTAGCATTCAAACTTACGTTATGGCTCCTCAAAAGCTAAGAGTTACAGAGTTAAGCTTTAGCCCTAACAAGCTAAGATCTAGAAATACATACCAAACATAAGTCAAAAAACTATAGTTTTGTTCTGGAGTCCTAAACATTAATTCTGATTATTAAAGTATTTTGGTATATATACTTAATGATATTAAATTTATCTTTATAAACAGTAACATACTATGCTATCAAGAGATAGAAGAGTTAATGTGTTTTGAATGCTCAAGCTGTGTGTTTCTACATAGATTAGATTTATTTTATTCTGAATGTCAGCAATGTTTAAATTAAGTCATCGTGATGTTGAAGATAATTAGAGACATATAACTTCTATAGCTAAATTTATTAGTGCACTGAAGTTACTTATACCAGGCTGAAGCACGTTAGCTGCCTAGAACTGATATACAGCTGTTTTTTATCATCCAAACACTGGAAAACAGCAGGGACATGCTCCTCAGTTTTCCTTTCTCCTGGCCTCTGCCTTGCCCTGAAGATGTATCCCACTCCCTCATGTCTTCAACTTTCCTCTTCCTTTTGCTTCCTCAATTACACTTCCCTTCCTCCTGCTCAGTACAAATGGTGCAAACACACAATAGATATTTGCAAGAAAAGTGACATTTACTCCATTCTTTTCCTATCTGAAAACATATCTGGTAAACAGACTGGTGTATAACTCGTAGTCTGAAGAAGATTCACATTTAACTGTGTATTTTCATCAGGATATCATATCTTACTCTGATCAGTATTTAAGCTATAAGCTGGAGCTGCCCGTAAGAGGCCTCTCATTAGGAGAGAGACTAATTCTGTTTGAAATTCTCTAAGTAGATTATTTTCTTTTTCCCAAAGAATCAACTTACAATCAAAAAATACCATTACTCCATTTTTATATGAGATTACAAAAAACATACAAAAAGTCTGAAAAGCCCGTACCTTCTCATTTTCAAGTGAATTTAAAAGTAAAAGTGATTCTAATGCACAATGCCAAATTTTTTGAGTAACCATTTTCAATGAATTTTCCTTCAAATTAATTAGCAGATGTGTAAGTTCTCAAGAACACGTTAACTACTATAATTTGAGGATGAATATGCTACACTTGATATAAAATATTTTGAAACGCTGATTTAAGTTTACGCTTCATTCTTTCTTAATTCTACAGCAGCAGCTTGCTGTCTCCATATTAAACAGCACGCAATATGGTGCACGGCCAAGGACATAAATGCATACATGCTGATAAAGATTTTTCTTAACAGGGGTGAGGACTCACAGACTGACATGCTGAAGGATCAGTGGCTCTGTCCTAGCTATACCTAACATAGATAAGGATAGGTTCAGACAGGTTGAAAACAACGACTACTCTCTGTTAATCCGAAGGGAAAACACGGACTGCTGGCCAAAGTCAGCGCTCAGGTAATGGGCTGCCAGCTGACAGGATGAAATGGAGAGTAATGGTGACAGTAGGGACAACACTGAGCAATCCTATGCATCAACAAAACAATCCTATGCTGCGACAAAAGCAATCCTATGCTGCGACAAAACAGGACAATGGGCAGCAGCAACTTTTCCAGTGTATTGGTTTGAAGTAGAACTACAGTGTCTTCAGCGTTCACCCCAATAGGTGGAAAAGTTTGTGAAACAAGAAAAACTTACATTTGTTGATTCTATATGGCCTAGTACAGTCCTTATCCCATTAAACACCTGCAGTACACTGTGGACATGCTGTGCTCCTGGTACTAAGTTGGAAATATCTGATTAACACATGCACTGCACTCACATAAATTCATTTTAACTCTACTTCGAGTTATCTTAACATTGCCACCAAGATAATCTGCATTCAGGAAAATACTTAACAGATTATTATACAAAATTCTGAAACAAAAATGTAAAGGGATACAAGAAAGGAATTCAGAAAGCAATCAATCCTCAGCATCCATATAGGAGAGAAATGTAAACACAAAGCTCCTGCAACAAAGATCTTCAGCGAGATTAAATGTGCTCAGGAACTGCACCGTCATTGCTATTGGCCTTTGCCAGGAGAAAGGCAAAGCTTTAGCACAGGAACTGCTGGTCCCTATTGCTTCTAATGGCCACAAGTACCCCAAAATGTGCCCCAGCCCGTAGTTAACAGGGCTGACCAAACTCTCAGAGTAGGGAGCTCTGCACTGTTGCACAGAGTAGTTCCATACACATCCTACTTGATCCTGAGCTCTGCCTAACACAGTGGAACTACAGCAACTGCAATGTAGGGCCTTGGCTTTTCCAGCACTGACTGTCCCTGTGGTGGTAACAAAATTCTTCCTTCAGTTTTAGAATTTCAGCATATCCCAGCATATGCCTAAAGCCAGAGGCACTAACTACAGTTATTGCTGAATAAGTGATCTTGAAAAAGTGTTTAAATTGCAAATTATCTTTCAGCCTAGTAACTAATTGATAATCTCAAAAATATTTAAATATTTCTAGGGCAATATGCAACTGCCACATTTATTTTAAATCCTTTGAGTTGAACAGAGAGACATTGATTGTGTTTAACACAATATATCCATATAAGTTCAAAGTAAGGAGCAATAAAATTTTAGATATAAGATAAAATAGGAGTCATTAATAAATGAATACTTTTATCTGCTCTAGTTATACATCCTTGATATTTCTTGGATAGGTCATTGAAACCAAAACTATTAAAAAATATTGGCTAATTCAAAAATCACAAGAAAATATAATGAAAGAGAATAAAATCTCCAAGAGGTTCAGCCTGCAAATTTGCAACTACTAGAAACCAATTGGAGAATGTTTCCTTCAAGTCTTTCAAATATAAGCTGGTAGTATTCCAGTTAAAGGTGTTAACTCCCAGCGTAAGCTTTCCTGGAAATTTGCAGGGTGGGTCTTTAGGGAGGTAACAACATGGTTACAAATCTTAGTCGCATAGACAAGGCCAGTGATCTATAGGAGCTGTAAGGGCTAAGGAAGATTTGTTGTCACCTTGACCATGATAACAAAATCCTTCCACTTATACCTTAAAGGACTGACACAAAAGGCAGACATAGGAACTGGAGTTATCTGGAGGACATTATGGATTAGTAATAAGTACAAAATAAAAAGCCATTTCTCTTTTATAAGTCTTACATAAAAATGAACTTATATCATTGGGCCTGAACACAGAGTCTATTCCCAAGAGTATGCAGATAAAGCATTTATATTATGCCAGTTATTGAAAACTAACCTCATTTCTTATGAAAGTTTGGGCTTTTTTGGGGGGGGAGCAGCAAACACTCCTGCAAACGCCATGTTTTGTACTTTTAATATGTTAGCATTATGGTTTAACTGTGGAAGAAAAGCATGACTGTATATTCCCTTATGTAAACAACACGATTCACATATTTGTACTTCTGTTTATTTGTATTGATACTAATGTCTCTATTTTTAATTAGAAAGCATCTTTAATTTTTCTGTAAATGCATTTAACTGAACTTTAGAGAGGAAGATAGAATTGTCATGACTCGTAGTCAAATTAGCTATTGTAAAGTGGAATGGCACTTTATCTTTCCCTTTAATGGTATAAACCTTGTTTGTCTTACACCCTAAAGATGGTGTTGGTGTGTTTTTTTTTTTCACAGAAAGGCTCTAAAACAAGTTAAGGTACCTTATCAGTACAGACTTCAGCCACCTTGAGATTAAAGTTTTAATCAGCTGATGATTAAGATTTCCATTACTAAGTAATTAGCACTAAATTCACACTGTTGAACTGTTAACTAAGGAAGGTGCACCATTAAATACACATCAACAAACTCTAACATATGAAAGTAAATTAAGGTCTAAAAAAGAAAAAAATAGTCAGAGCCTTTCTGTAACAGATGGTCTAATTTCCCCATTACCCATGAAGTATGATGCCGGTGTGTTCCCCTCCTCAATTATCATCTGTTTACCTTTACAGGAGTTGCTACAGGCCCTTAGCTACCAGGTTACTACAGTATCCATAGCACCGAAGAACTCTGTCCTCTGACTTGTACAGAAAACACAGGTACCCAGTGCTCCATAACCTCTTCATTAAACCATCGAAAGCTTGAAAAAGTTGGCCATTACCTGCTTTACATTTCACGGGAATATCTGTTCCTATCATAACATGACAGCTATTTAATGATTTGACAAAAAAAAAATTAAATAAATAAAAAACCTCTGCTTTCCATTGGCAAATTGCAAGCACATGTACTTATTTTGATGCAAGCTTAAAAAAGAAAATAAAATAACCCGGGCCATACTTCCAGAAGAGACAGCCCGGGTAATTCGCAGCCAGGCGCACTTGGACTCTTACAACCACCCGACAGCCCCCAAATTGTGTGCAGTTGTACGGAAAGCCAAAACATTTGGCTTAAATCAGGGTTTTCCAGAGAGCGCACGTGCACGGTGTCTGAGGCCAGCGGCGAAGAGGGCACTCCCACCCGGGCCCGGCATCCCACCGGGAGATAAACAACAACAGCGACATAAAGATATTTAAAAAAGGATATAAGCGTTTTCCACCCCGGCGGTGGGCGGGCCCTTGGGCGCGCTCTCGCCCCACCTGGGGGCGGCGAGCCAGGCTCCCCCCCGAGCCCCGTGGGCTGCCCGCTCCTGTCTGTCCCGGGGCCGCCTCGCTCCTGGTCCCGCTCCTGGTCCCGCTCCCGGCCCGGCGCGGGGCGGGCGCCGCTCCCGCGGGCGGCGCGTGCGGGCGGCTCCGCGCGGGGGGATTTGAAACGGCCGCTCCGGGGGCCGCGCGGCGGCGGCGGCCAATCAGCGGCGCGGATTTTTCGCGCTGGTTCTGGCCGGAGGAGGGGGCGGGGCCGCCGCGCAGGACCCGCCGGAGCCGCCGCCGCCGCTGCTGCCGCTGTGTCGCCTCGGCTCCCGCCGCTCCCCCGGCACCGAGACACCGCCGCCGCCTCGCCCGGCTCCCCGCGGGGAAGGATGCGCTAGGGCACAGGTCGGTAGGGCCGGGAGCGCGGCTGGCTCTCCCCGCACACCCCCCAACCCCCCCGCGGGAAGGGAGGAGGCACCCGGGGCACGTTCCCGCAGGCCCCGGGCGGGAGGCGGGAGCGGCGGCGGGGAGGCTCGCCCGCCCGCGGGGATGCTGCCGCCCGGCCCCGCGCTTCGTCGCGGGCACCGGGAGCGCCTTCCCGGGCTGGGACCTCGGGCCGTGCCCGGCGAAGCGCTGCGGAGTCGGCGTGGGGGACTGGGGGTCCCGTGGCGGGGCATCCGCGCCCCCCCCCCCGCCAGCTCGCCCCGCTCCGGGGACTCCCCCTCCGCCGGGGCTGCGCTCCCTCAAACTTACCGTCTGCATCGCCCGGGCAGCCCACGGCTCCCGTCTCCCCGTGCCCCGGAGGAGGGTTTTTTGTTCGCTCCCCCCTCCTCCCCCCCATTACCTGGCCCTCGCTGCGGGGCCGCGGGTCCCCCCGACCGCCCCTCGCTCCCCCCCGAGGCTGCCGCAGGATTTGTGCCGCTGGCTGGGCCCTGACTCCTGGGTGGCGGAGGAGCGGAAAGGAGCGATGCCGAGCAGGAGTCCCGGCTGTTGCAGCTTCATCCTTTTCCCCCCCTGCCCGCCTCCTCCTCCTCCTCGGCGCTGCGGGAGGTCGGGGGCAGCATAAAGGGGTAAGGGAGAGGTGCCCACCCGTCCCACCTCCCTCCCCCGGGGAATGGGGGATCAATCAGTGCAAGTCAGAAAGAAAACCGGAGGGGGGGACACGACCAATGGGAAGGGATAAAGGAAAAAAAAAAGCCTCCCCAGGGTTTAAACCGCCTCCTTAAGGGGTGTGGAGGCTGCAAATGTCCCCCCCGTGGCGGTGAGAGTGTGGGGAGGTGGAGGCTGCTCCTGCCCCTTCCCGCCGGGTAGGACTGGGATTGTACGGCAGCAGGAGTGAATGTAACTCTGGAAATGTATGGAGGGGGAAGCCATGTTTGATTTATTCCTCCACTAAACACTGGTGTGATGATCCTTCCACTTACACCCTTCTGCAGTCCATCCTGGACCGGTATGGGAGGAGAGCCTTGTTAGGAAAACGGGAAGGAAACATTCCTGTGAAGTCGTGCGGGCTCGTTGGCTCAATCTTCATTAACTATAGGAGGGTAGGGCTCTTGTAACTTGGATTGATATTTGTGTGGTAAAAGAGCCTGGGGAACTTGTATTCCCAAGGCCATAGTTACAGCTCATCTGCTGTGGCTTTACCGCTCTGGGGGTGGAGAAGGGAATTTGCCATACTTCTTGAGCATATTTATACTTGCTTTTTGGGTTTGGCTTTTTTTTTTTTTTTTAATATGTCGGCTGAAACGGGGAGTAAACACTATTAAGGGTAGGGAGATGGTAAACACCATATTTAAACAGATTTCAGAGAAAATGGGCTTCTTGCTAACAGACATTAAGCAAGCAAGAGGCTGGTATCAGTCATTGCCCATGTATTTAGTGTGCGTGAATAGTTTCTTATTGGCATTTGCTTTAAAGTGGATTTATACTGATTGTTAAATTTAGGAGCTAGTGCTGCCCAGACTGAGTAAGCTAAAGAGGTCTGTTAAAAAAAAAAAGGGAAGATACGTTTGGCTTTTAGCCTTTTCATATATCCAAGGAAGGTAACTGTAAACACTGTAGGGTGGCAGTGAAGTTTGTAATAGATTTTGCAAAGACTCCTTGCTGGTGACTTAGAGCAGACATATATATGCTTACTAAAAATCCTTACACATGGAATGTGTGGCTTCAGCTGCAAGAATAAATTGGTTCTTTACTAAAATGTTTTGTGTGTTAGTAGAATCTTTGTAAATTAATTGCTGAAGCTGTTATTTGCTTGTTTGCTGTGGGAATTTCACTCGGGAAATGCAGCATATCAACCTTAATAAACTCCTCAGTTTCACAGTGTGGTATTATTCGACTGTTGGATGTAATCATTGAATTAAACCACTGTTTTGCAGGGCTTCTCAGGGCTCAGTACTTAGGCTATGTGCAATTTTTGGTTGCTTTGGTAAGCATCTATACCTTATATATTAAAACATATCGGGATTTTTGTCTAGGATGCAGCCATCAGAAAATCTGACAGTTTTTTTCAGTATGTGAATATAAATACTCTGAATATTCCTGGAGACTATATGGCTAGTTGTTGTGAAGGTTACTGGACTATCCACCCTCATACATGCTTAGAAAAATCCAGATATTAAAATTACAGTAAAACCTACTAATTTATCAAATATTATTTGAAAATGTCAGAAGAAACTAGGTCATTATACTTAAAGGGTATATATTTAAAGTAGTTTAGAAAATGGAAAATAAATGTGAAATATATTTCTTTTTAGTTCAGTATGAATCCAACAAATGGCTAGTAAGAATAAAAAAAAATTGTGCTTAACTGTTTGTAGGGCTTCGTGCCTTTTCTGAAGCCAGTGGTGGTTTTGCAGGGGAGACTATTGCATTTTAATTACTGCCTGCATGCAATAGACTGGATATTAGAGCAAAAACAACCCCACTTGGGTTTAGACTGGAAGCAAAAATGATTGATGGGGGGGTGGCTTTCTAATATTTGGATGGTGAAATGAATATACGTATGTACGTGTTTCTGTGTCTTCACATGTATATGTATACATATATATGTGAGTTTATGTCCAAAACGTTGCAGCAATAAAATAGCAAAGGAATGGCATGAAGGGATTATTTTTCAGTGCCCTATTGTTTGTGGCCCTTTCACCTCTCACTTTTGCACTGAGCCTGCTTTTTGTTCCGCTGGTATCAGGACGTTTCCCGAGCGAGGTCTTGTTTCTCCAGCCTGATAAATGTCTGTATTTCCTTGTGGTCGATCAAAGCCTTGGGACTCCATCCGTGTGTGCATAAAGGTTCACCTGCTCTGGTCAGATTCCTGCATCGAGGATGTAGTGTATGATGAGGAGAAGATACAGCAGAATTCTCGCAGCATTTCAGTCACATCTGGTCATTCCTGCTTACATAACTGCAAGACTTCTCTTAGGTTTTAAGCATTGAAGATGGTTTGATGCATGAAAATTGCAAGTATTTTCTGTGTAGAGCAAGGTAAAGGGCCTGGGCTTTTCTGGGAAAAAAATTCTTACTTCTCCTTAAGAGCACTGTGCTGCACAGTGAGAAGCATCCACTAAATGGTATTGCTGAGAAAACATAATTCCCTAACAGTAATCAGGCATCAATAAAGAAATGCTCGGGTGGAACTAATAATAATGCAGTAGATAATGATGACTGCGTGTTTTAATACTATGTTTGTGGCTATAGTGTTTGAGCTCTTTCATTACTTTTCTGCAAAGACAAATGAAATGGCCTCATGGTTGAGTAGATACAATAATAGATCTGGTATAATTCTCAAATCTTGCCTTTGGATGAAGGAATAATGGAGATCGTTGAGTCCCAGAATGGTTTGGGTTGGAAGGGACCTTAAAGATCATCTAGTTCCAACTCCCCGGCCTGGACAGGGACGCCTTGCACTAGACCAGGTTGCTCAGAGCCCCATCTCAAGTGGATCTAAGTGAATCAGTAAGTCCCACATTTCTAGGGAACATCGCTTTCAAGTTAGGATGTAGCTTTGAGAAGTGTCTTCACTGAGGATATTCTGGAATCTTGGTGGTGTAAATGGGAGGCAGGGATGGAATATGGCACCAGGATAAGCAGTCAGGTGGTAAAGTGGAGAGAGAAAATAATTTCTCATCAGATCTTGGCAGGGGAGTCTAAATTTCCTGTGGTGCTTAATTGTGGAGGATTTGGGAGAAAGGAGGTGGGTAAGGAGAGCCTTCGTTTACATGCCAGTAGTCACCATGCTGGCTGTAAATTCATGTAGCTGGTTGAATGGGTTGGTCAGCTATTTTATACAGTTAATGGTTACTTGTAAGGTTTTGGTTCTGAGAACATTTTTGAAGGAAAAGTGAGAAACTACCTAAGTTCTCCCTTCCTTGTGCATTCAAATTAGCTTCTCTGTGACCTGCAGTCATTGGAGGTACTAAGAAAGCTATATAAATGTATTTACCTTTTCCCTTTCATTTTACACTGACAGAAATTACTAAAGTGATACACCAGGTGTTACTTTCAGTGTTTTTATGAAGTTTGGTGACATCTGTAACAGATGTTTTATATTTTCTAGCATGAGCTGAAAGAGAAGCTTTCGGAATGTGTTAGAAGGAAAAGGTAGACCTTACTCTATTCTGTTGTCCTTCTAGTTGAATAGTAAACTCCAAAAATACACAAGTTTCCTGGAGAACATATCATATATACTAGTACCTTGTGTATGGTGATGGATGCCTAATCCGTCATGCATTACTTTCCTAACAGGTAACTGAATCCATTGATTCTCTGGTACATTCAAAATGCTGCTTCTGTCCAAGGCATACAATAGATTATACCATGAACTGAATATTTTAAAATACATTTTATGTGCAATAAATAACTGTGAATCGTGGTTGAACCAAAAGCAACGTTTCTACTATCCTTCTTGCTAATGTTAAGAATGAATACTGTTGTATGGAAGTTGTTCTGATAGGAGAGTGATGTGATGAGCTACACGTGGAAAGTAGATATTGGAAAATATTTTTGAACATTTCACAGCAATCAAGTTAGACTTAGTAAGTATGGAAGAGTGAAGTATTAGCCTATGTGTACTTCACAGTATTCATACGTTGGGCAAAATGACTTTGCCCTGTGGCACCATTGACCTAGGTTCTTGTGTTTAACATACTTCAAAACTAATCAAATATACAAGTGACATAAAGCACGTGTTAAATTGCAAGGGTTGCTCAACAGGTGATGGCTCAGTTTCTAGTTTTGTCCCCATCCTTTTAACTTGTTCTATTTTTATCTTAGTGCAAGAGAGCAATTTGATCTTCTTTTGAACTTTGGTGTTGGAGCTATATTATGTTCATATTTGCGGTAATGATACATAGGTGGCAAATGACTGAAAAACTGTAGCATGATGTGCTGTTGAACTCGACTTTCAT